TGATAGTAGTGCATCTACATACCTTTGTAGATCGCGAGCGGAAGTGTTCAAGAGAATGGGGTTGAGGGAGTCGTACTCGTCGTGATCCAAATCACCGATGACCAAGTGCCGAACGGACAGCACCTCCGCGTTCAACACACGTACGGAGCGGATGACGTCTCCTCCTTCTTGATCCAGCAAGGGGGAAGGAGAGGTTGATGAAGATCCAGCAGCACGACGGCGTGGTGGTGGATGCAGCAGGGTTCCGGCAGGGCTTCGCCAAGCGACTACGGGAGGAGGAGGTGTAGCAAGGGGAGAGAGAGGCGCCAAGACTTCAGGTGCGGCTGCCCTTCCACCCCCCTCTTTATATAGGGACCCCCAGGGGGGGCGCCGGCCCTAGAGATGGGATCTCTAGGGGGCGGCGGCCAAGGGGGGTGGAGTGCCCCCCCCAAGAAAAGTGGAGGCGCCCCCTCCCCTAGGGTTCCCAACCCTAGGCGCAGAGGGGGGCCCAGGGGGGCGCACCAGCCCACTAGGGGCTGGTTCCCGTCCCACTTCAGCCCATGGGGCCCTCCGGGGTAGGTGGCCCCACCTAGTGGACCCCTGGGAGCCTTCCGGTGGTCCCGGTACAATACCGGTGGACCCCGAAACTTTCCCGATGGCCGAAACTCGACTTCCCATATATAATTCTTTACCTCCGGACCATTCCAGAACTCCTCATGACGTCCGAGATCTCATCCGGGACTCCGAACAACCTTTGGTTTGCTGCATACTCATATTCATACAACCCTAGAGTCACTGAACCTTAAGTGTGTAGACCCTACAGGTTCGGGAGACATGTAGACATGACCGAGACGGCTCTCCGGTCAATAACCAACAGCGGGATCTGGATACCCATGTTGGCTCCCACATACTCCTCGATGATCTCATCGGATGAACCACGATGTCGAGGATTTAAGCAACCCCGTATACAATTCCCTTTGTCAATCGGTACGTTACTTGTCCGAGATTCGATCGTCGGTATGCCAATACCTCGTTCAATCTCGTTACCGGCAAGTCACTTTACTCGTACCGTAATGCATGATCCCATGACCAGACACTTGGTCACTTTGAGCTCATTATGATGATGCATTACCGAGTGGGCCCAGAGATACCTCTCTGTCATACGAAGTGACAAATCCCAGTCTCGATCCGTGTCAACCCAACAGACACTTTCGGAGATACCTGTAGTGCACCTTTATAGTCACCCAGTTACATTGTGACATTTGGTACACCCAAAGCACTCCCACGGTATCCGGGAGTTACATGATCTCATGGTCTAAGGAAAAGATACTTGACATTGGAAAAGCTCTAGCAAAACGAACTACACGATCTTGTGCTATGCTTAGGATTGGGTCTTGTCCATCACATCATTCTCCTAATGATGTGATCCCGTTATCAACGACATCTAATGTCCATAGTTAGGAAACCATGACCATTTGTTGATCAACGAGCTAGTCAACTAGAGGCTCACTAGGGACATATTGTGGTCTATATATTCACACGTGTATTACGATTTCCGGATAATACAATTATAGCATGAATAAAAGACAATTATCATGAACAAGGAAATATAATAATAATCCTTTTATTATTGCCTCTAGGGCATATTTCCAACATCACCATCCTCATCTTCGGCAGGGCCTTCGTCGGCTTTGATGACGTCGCTCGAGGTTGCTTTGATGCTTTCTCAGTCGGTGTTGGAGAAGTCGTCCGAGGACGTTTCGTCGCCTGCCCAACGGGCGCAGTTGCTTTGCCTCGCTCGACTGCGGGGTCATGGGTGAACTTGGATCGCCTTTCAGTACAGGGAGGGTCGACTTCCTCCTCCTCCTCTTCGCCAGAACCGTCATCTTCTTCATCCTCCTCGCCGTCAGATTGCCACTCCTCCTGACTTTCACCTCTGCTCCCCTCCTCCTCCTCGACCTGTTCTTGCGCCCCATCGTGCATTGAGTACATCTCGGTAGTGACCTGGAAGACAACAAACAAGACAAGAATCAGTCGACTGAATTCTAACGAAACGGAATGAAGGAAGCAGGGTCGGAGTCTGAGGTACAGAATTGGACCTTGTCTGGCTGGTATGATTGGTCGAGTGGAGGGATCCTCCTAGCTCCTCGGGGGTTGTCCTTGTTCCCTGTTATGGCAGTCATCCACCTCTCTAGTGTGGCATCCTCGACCTCCTCCGGGTGGACCCGAGTGGTGTCTTCAGTGCCAGAGTACATCCACATCGGATGGTCTCTATATTGGAGCGGCTGGATGAGCCGTCAAAGGAAAACCTCCAGAAGGTCCATGCCAGTCACCCCATCACGGATAAGTTGGACTACACGCTCGACCAGCACCTTAACCTGAGCCTTCTCCTCTGGGACCACCTTCAGAGAGGACGGCTTGCTCACTTGATCCATGGAGAAAGGAGGGAGTCCAGTCGACTGCCCTGGCGTCGGCTGGTCTTGGCAGTAGAACCAGGTCGACTGCCACCCTCGAACCGACTCAGGAAGTACCATGGCTGGAAAGGCACTTTTACCCCTCATTTAGACCCCAAGACTCCCACACATTTGAATCACTTGGGTTCTCTCGTCACTCGGATTGGCCTTTTTCACCGTCTGAGAGCGACAGGTGAAGATGTGTTTGAAAAGGCCCCAATGCGGCCGGCAACCCAAGAAATTCTCACACAAGGACACAAAAGCAGCGAGATACACGATGGAGTTGGGTGTGAAGTGATGGAGTTGTGCCCAAAAAAAGTTCAGAAATCCCCGAAAGAAAGGGTGGGGCGGCAAAGAAAACCCGCGGTCAACGTGAGTGGCTAAGAGGACACACTCACCCTCCTGAGGCTGCGGATGCCACTCCTTCCCCGGAAGCCTCGCTGATCCATGAGGGATCAGTCCCTCATCGGCCAGGTCGTCCAGATCCTTTTGGTGGATGGTCGAGCGGATCCAGTCGCCCTGGATCCAGCCCTGCGGCAGACCGGCCCGCGACGAGGATCCGCCCCGACTGGTCGCTCTTCCCTTCGCCTTCGCCGTCGCCTTCTTCGCCCGCTCCAAAGCCGCCGTCTTCTCCTTCACCATCGTCGCCGGCGAAGCACGCACAAGGCAACAGCGCTGGGATAGAAGCGAACGCGGCAGATGAATCTGAGGAAGAGGGAGAAGCAAATGAAGGCGCACTGTTCAAAACCCCCGTCCAGCGCCTTATATGGGGTCGCTTCCGAGTGACTGACTGGTAGGCCCGGGCGATCCTGTCAAATCCCGCAACAGTCGCGCGCGCGATATGTGGCGAAAAAGGTGGCGCAAAAATCGAGGCATTCCTGCCTTATCCCATCCGAGTACTGCGGCTTCCTCCGCCTCGCGCGCTTCCCGAAATTCAGATCCCGCTAAATCCGTGAACAGCACAGCAACTTGTCAGACTGGAGATTTCCTCTGATCCGTCGCTCGGAGATCTCCAAGTATAGAAAAGTCACTCGACCAATACAAAGAATGGATCAAGACGACTGAAAAAGAAGTTGGTGTCGTCACCTAAGGTCATTGATCCAGAACAAGACATACTCATAGCACAAAAGATGGGTCGGAAGAATTCTCAACTCATTCCTCACCCAAACCTCGATCCATTCGGGGGCTAATGATGAAGCCATGTACCTAGGGTAGGGTCATGGACCTATTCAAGGTACCCTCCCCAAGGACATTCCTAGAAGAAACTACCTTTCAGTCGACCTGGAAGGATTTCACTCGACGTATTCGAAGACACTCGACCATGAAGTCACTCACTCGACCGACAGGAGATCTAGAGTCACTCTACACACAAACGGTCTGTCATTAAGTAGTCTTTATGGTCATGATAGCACTTTATGTATGGCGTTACCAGTAACGCCAGACCTTAATGTACTTTAAACCCTACATAACTGAGGGCCGGAGGGGTCTGGCGAACTCTATATAAGCCCCCCCTCCTCAGTGTAAAGGGTTCGCACCCCTGTAATTTATACGCATATAATCTAGTCGACCGCCTCCGAGACGTAGGGCTGTTACTTCCTCCGAGAAGGGCCTGAACTCGTAAACATCTTGCGTACACAACTACTCCATAGCTAGGATCTTGTCTCTCCATTCCTACCCCCTATTCTACTGTCAGACTTAGAACCACGACACCAGGCCCGCCCTGCCCAGCCGGCGGCGACCACGGTGGCACCGCAGGATGTTGCCACAGTCTTGGAGACGACGTTCCCCTGGGCTGGGCCGGCGCCGACGCTCATCGACCTCGCCGGCCCCAACGATGACGACGAGGACGCCTTGGGCAGCGCGCCTCCTCCTAATTTTTAGTTTAATTAAATGTTTTAACTAATGTAATATGGACTCTTGGACTCTCACCGGCCTTTGTGGCCGGCATTTATGTGTAATTAACGTTTCTAATTTCAAAATATTTGCGTTACCTTTTTTCGCGCGCGAATTCAAAAAATAGGTCAGGCCTGGGCCTTTGTTGGGCGCAAGCGCCGACTTAAACGCGAATGCGGATATGGGTGTTCGTTGTGCAGACCCAAGCGAATAAAAAACGACAAATGACGCGTTTGTTTTAGTCGCCCGATTAAAGTTGCTCTAAATGAAATATTTCAGCAGATCGTGCTCCTATGTTATTTTCGGGTGATGACATTTTTCTTCAAAGGAGTATTGAAGAGGTGCGATTAAAAATGCCGCAGACGTTGTCATCGAGCACCCAAACTCGCGACATATGGACGCGTGGCCCCCGAATGAAACGGACCCCCTTTTCCCTCGAAAAAAAGAGTGAAACGGGCCCCCAATGTGGGCGCTTCACGTCGACGCAAGAAAACAAAAACCAGCGCCGACAAGCGTCCACGTCGCGTCAAGATTCGCGTCACCGAGCAGCACCAGCCGACAGCCGACTGGTGGGCCTCCGCCTTCCCCGCCCCCGTCGGCCGTCGCCTCCGCTCTCAGTCTCCTCCCAGTCATAACCACCATCCTCTCCTTTCCTTCCCGTCCCTCTCAGCTCTCATGGGCATCGCGTGCTCGCCCCTCTCGACCTCCGAGAAAGAGAACCCCAGCATGACGCCGCAGGCTGCGCCGGCGTCGGCGGCGCTCGGGTTCCTCGTCCCGACACGCTGGGAGATCGAGGTCACCTGCGCCGCCGCGACGGCCCTCGTCCTCCTAATCGCCGCGCTCTACGCGCTCCTCCGCCCGCGCCGCGCGCCCGCGGCCGCCGACGGCCTCCAGCTCGTCGACAAGGTAAGCAAATCAACGGCTGCCGGTGCTGCCGCGTGTCTATCTGTCCAGCTGAAGCTGCTGGCCGCCAAGGATTTGATCGCGGCCAACTTGAACGGGACTTCCGACCCGTATGCGCTCATCACCTGCGGCCAAGATAAGCGTTTCAGGTGCATTTCTCTTCTGAATATGAGCACCACACAGTCATATAAGGGCATGTACAATGGTTCTATCTTAGCAATGCCACGTAGGATAAATGATGAGGTGGAAGAGAGAGAAATCATAAGAGAAGGCTTGTCTTCTCTTAATTAAGAAAAGACAAGAGATGATCTCTTAGCACAATATGTCTCACCACGTTTTTAGGAATAACTAATTATTGAAGATAAGGGCATGTACAATGGTTCTATCTTAGCAATGCCACGTAGGATAAATGATGAGGTGGAAGAGAGAGAAATCATAAGAGAAGGCTTGTCTTCTCTTAATTAAGAAAAGACAAGAGATGATCTCTTAGCACAATATGTCTCACCACGTTTTTAGGAATAACTAATTATTGAAGATAAGACTAAAAGATGACCCATTGTAGATATGTTTTTTTGTCATCTCTAAATTACATGCAAGATTTAAGATAAGACTACCTTATCGACCATTGTACATGCCCTAAGACTAAAAGATGACCCATTGTAGATATGTTTTTTTGTCATCTCTAAATTACATGCAAGATTTAAGATAAGACTACCTTATCGACCATTGTACATGCCCTAACTGCATGATTGGGGGCTTGAGAAAGTCTGATGTAACTGATCCACATTACAACCTGGAAATATTTCTGTGGGGAAAACGACTGTGGCAGGAGTACACATGTAAAAATCCTTCCAATACAAGATAATATTATTCTGCTTGATAGAATTAGGGAGGAAAGCAGCCGGTTTTGTAGTAGTAGTAGTCTACTTTTCCCCTTTATTCTAGTATCTCTGACTGTCTTATACGTGCCTTACAGCTCCATGGTTCCTGGCTCAAGAAACCCAATGTGGGGAGAGGAATTCAATTTTGTTGTTGACTGCCTTCCTGTAAAGGTTATTATTACCAGCACTTTCTCTTCTACTCCGTACCTAATTTTGAATTTCTCCTAAAACACGCAGCGTCAGTTCATAGCTGTTAGCTTGTTAATATAAGTCAGCATGACCCTCCTTAAGAACAGTCATATCAATCATAACAAGTCTTTTCCATCAGTATTATGGGTGGTACTTCATCAAAGATGCACTCAGCATTTATTCTGTGCGCTATTGTAGATAAAGGTGGAAATATATGACTGGGACATAGTATGGAAGAGCACAACACTTGGTTCTGTTACTGTTTCAGTCGAGTCCAAGGAGCGGAGTGGACCAGTTTGGCATACACTTGACGGCTCATCAGGGCGGGTAATTGGTTTCTACAAAACAACTTGGTTTCTCAGCATGATTTGTTTTTCTGTTATCTTATCAATTTTTCTGCATTGTTAGGTTTGTCTCCATATCAAGGCAATCAGAGTTAATGAGAGTTCCTCCAGGCAAATATCTCATCTACTATTAATTTGCTCTGATTTTTGTAACTATGTTGGATGTGAATTCTTTTGCATTTTTGAACAGATTTGGCATGTTGCAGTCACTTGCTTCACTATTTTACTCTGTCCTTTTGGACAACATAAGAAAACCTACAACATGTCCTTGTCAATAATTTTCTGACATATCATTTTTTGTGTTTTATAGGGCTCTAAACAACTCTGCTGAGGCTGATGCTCGTAAAAGGATGTCCTTAGACAAAGAAGGCCCTACTGTCGTTCACCAAAAGCCAGGTCATTTACAGACAATTTTTGGGCTACCTCCAGATGAGGCAAGTACCTACTGGCCACTGCTACTACTACTACATCTGTACCATAAGATAAGAAGTTTTTGCAATTCAAATTGAGCTGCAAAAACGTCTTATATTATGGTACAGAGGGAGTTCTAATTAAATAGTTTCATGCATAGGTCTATTACCAACTTGCGATAGTTATTCTTTCATTGCTTTGTTTATCATCCAGGTTGTTGAACACACTTATTCATGTGCACTTGAGAGGTCATTTCTATATCACGGTCGCATGTATGTGTCTTTATGGCACATTTGCTTCTATTCAAACATCTTCTCTAAGCAGATTAAGGTTAGCTCACATACAATATTTTCAATTGCACACTTTGATTGGTGGATTTACTTGGTTCGTTATTTTCGCTTAATTTTTTTTGCTTGTCAGAAAATATCCATTTTTAGTGTTCTGTTCATTTCATTGTGTCTCTAAACTTCAAAGAGACATTTTGATGATCACATGATATTTACACATTTTTATAAATTTTACTGAGATCTTTACTTAGATGCAGCCTGTCTGAGTACCATCTACTAATTTTGTCATTAGATCTAATTAAGTTAGATGATCAAATACTTTTGTCATGTGGTTCTTAAATGCTAATCTCCCTATTGGCTGACATGCATCAGTTGCCTCCTGAATGTGAATCACAAAAGCTACCAATCCTGGTCAATAAGAGCATTTTTTTCTCTATATATATTTTGCTGCCATGTAGATTGGGTTGGATAACTTTAGTATCCTATGTGCTGCGGAAAATTTTACATTGTTAAAGCTAGAAAGCTTGTCTTAGAAATATATCCAATTGCTTACATTGGTTTTGATACATTGTGGGACTCAAAACACGTTTTTCTTATATGTGAAGGTTGAGCTCCCTTTGAGAGATATTGATGAGGTGAGCCTTGCCTTACTCTCCTACATCATTTCCTTGTTAAAAGTGTTACTAATCACTTTTGTCCTTTTTTACATGTAGATAACAAAAGGCCAACTTGCAGTTATTAATCCTGCAATTACGATATTTCTTCGAACGGGAGCTGGAGGACATGGAGTTCCTTCCTTAGCATGCTCTGATGGTAGGATTTAAAACTCGCAATCTTGCATAGGCATAACAACCTTTTGCATCTTGATTCTTACTCTGGCACTAAATATGGATACTGCAAACTTGAATCCCTTTCATTGATTTTATAATACTAAGTTGTCATTATGGAGATGAAACCAAGAAGAACCTCATTGGGGCATTACCCTCTTACTGACGTGCCATATCAGAACTCGGGTGTGGTATTAAATGGGCAAGGGTCGGGCCGTCACCCCCACAGTGGTGCGCCATATCTTGATATGGATACGGTGATAAGCGAGCAAGGATCAGGTCGCCGCATCCTTAGTGGTGCGTTACCTCAATGCCCGGGTGTATTGAAAAATGAGCAAGGGTCTTTGCATTTGACTTGACCAATTCGAAGGGTAAGGAAGCTAGCCAAGCCAAGTAGGATCCGCTACCTTAGTTGGAAGGTAGGGTCCTTGACGGGTAAGTTACGGGAGTTAGTTGATGCAGCTGTGAGGAGAGGTGTTGATATCCTATGCGTCCAAGAGACCAAATGGAAGGGACAGAAGGTGAACGAGGTGCAGGACACCGGCTTCAACCTGTGGTACACGGGGACAACTACAAACATAAATGGAGTAGGCATCTTGATCAACAAGAGCCTCACTAATGGAGTGGTAGACGTCAAGAGGTAAGGGGACCGGATTATCCTAGTCAAGCTGGTCGTTGGGCACTTAGTTCTCAATGTTATTAGCATGTATGCGCACAAGTAGGCCACAATGAGAGCATCAAAAAGGAGTTCTGGGAAGGACTGGAGGACTTTGTTAAGAGTGTACCTATTGGCGAGAAGCTCTTCATAGGAGGAGACCTCAATGGCCACGTGGGTACATCTGACACAGATTTTGAAGCGGTGGATGGGGCCTTTGGATATGGCATCATGAATCAAGAAGGAGAGGATGTCTTAAGCTTCATTGTAGCCTCTTGAGAGAGAATCCCATCTAGTGACTTTCAGTAGTGGTCAACACTATAGCCAGATTGGTTGTGTCCTCTCTAGAAGAGAAGACATGCGTGCTTGCTTAGATTTTAAGGTGATACCTGAGAGAGTGTTGTCCCTCAACATAAGCTTGTGGTGGCTGAATTTCACTTCCAGATTCGTGTCCAGCGGGATAAGCGCGCCGAAGTCACTAGAACAAAGTGGCGGAAGCTCAAGGGGAAGGCATCTCAGGCTTTCAAGGAGAGGGTTGTTAAGGAGGGCGCTTGGGAGGACGGAGACAATGCAAATAATATGTGGATGAATATGGTGACCTACATTCGGAAGGTGGCTTCAAAGGAGTTTGGGGTGACCAAGGGAAGTAGAGGCGAAGCTAAAGATACGTGGTGGTGGAATGATGATGTCCGGAAGACTATTAAGGAGAAGAAGGATTGTTTCAGACGCCTGCATCTGGATAGGAGTGCAGACAACATAGAGAAGTACAAGGTGACAAAGAAGACCTCAAAGCGAGTTGTGAGTGAACCAAGGGGTCGAGCATGTGAGGACCTCTACCAAGGTTTAAACTAAAAGGATGGTGAAAGGGACATTTATAAGATGGCTAAGATCCAAGAGTGGAAGACGAGGGATGCCAACCATGTCAAATGCATCAAGGACGGAGCATATCTGCTTCTGGTGAAGGACGAGGAAATCAAGCATAGATGGCGAGATAACTTTGACAAAATGCTCAATGGAGAGAATGAGAGCTCTACCGTTGGGTTGGATGACTCCTTTGATGATACCAATAGACATTTTTGTGCGGCGAATCCAGAGTCTGAGGTTAGGAGGCTTTAAAAAAGATGAAAGGAGGCAAGGCAATGGCCCCTTATTGTATCCCCATTGAGGTGTGGAGAGGCCTTGGAGACATAGTGATAGTATGGCTAACTTAGCTTATCAACCACAATTTTCGGTCAAACAAGATGCCCGAAGAATGGATGCGATGTATATTAGCACCAATCTTCAAGAACAAGGGGGATGCTCAATGTTACTAATTACTGCTGAATTAAGTTGATAGAGCTATGGGAGAGTCACTGAGAACTGCTTAAGAAGAATGACAAACGTGGCCAAAAATCAGTTTGGTTTCATGACTGGTAGGTCGACCATGGAAGCCCTTTTGTTGGTACAACAACTCATGAAGAGATACAGGGAACAAAAGAAGGAACTGCATATGGTGTTCATTGACTTGGAGAAGGCCTGCGATAATATACCGTGGAATCTCATGTGGTGGGCCTTGGAGAAACACAAAGTCCCAAAAAAGTACATTACCCTCGTGAAAGACATGTAAGATAATGTTGTGACAAGTTCCAAACAAGTGATGGCGACACCAATGACTTTCCAATTAAAATAGGATTGCATCAAGGGTCAGCTTTGAGCCCTTATCTCTCTGTTTTGGTGATGGATGAGGTCACAGGGGATATATAAGGAGATATACCATGGTGTATGGTCTTTGTGGATTATGCGGTGCTAGTCCATGGTAGACCCGTGGGGGTTAATACAAAGTAAGAGTTGTGGAGGCAGACTCTGGAATCAAAAGGTTTTAGGCTTAGTAGAACTAAAACTGAGCATATGAGATGCAGTTTTAGTACTACTAGGCAGGAGGAGGAGGAGGTTAGCCTTGATGGGCAGGAAGTACCTCAGAAGGGCACCTTCCGATATTTGGGGTCAATGCTGCAAAAGGATGGTGATATAAATGAAGATATGAGTCATGAAATCAAAGCCGGGTGGATGAAGTTGCACCAATTCTGGCGTCCTATGACAAGAGAGTGCCACAAAAGCTAAAAGTCATGTTCTATAGGATGACGATTCGACTTGCGATGTTGTATGGTGCAGGATATTTACCAACTAAGAGGCGACATGTCCAACCGTTAGGTGGAGCAGAAATGTGCAAGTTGAGACGGATATGTGGCCACACAAGAAAGGATTGGATCCTAAATGATGATATATGTGAGAGAGTTGGGTAGCACCGATTGAAGAGAAGCTTATCCAAGATTGTCTAAGATGGGTAGGGCATATAAAACGCATGTCTCCAGATGCGTCATTGCATGGTGGATGGATAAAGCATGATGATAATGTCAAGAGAGGTCGGGGTAGACCAATCTTGACATTGGAGGAGTCCGTTAAAGAGATCTGAAGGACTAGGATGTTAGAATAAATCCGAGGCATACCGTCAATCATCCGAGGACCAAGCAATGACACGAGGCACGACACCAAGATTTGTTAACGAGGTTCACCGATATGGCTACATCCCCGGGGCCTGACTATGGACACTCCTCCCCATGACACCGCTACAATACCGCATCCGGTCGCCCTGAACGCCGGCACATGCCGCCGGCTTCCCCTGTGTTCCTGTGCTATTATGTTGGCATAAGTTATATCGTGTCTCTACCCCCAGTATATATGAGAGGCCTAGGATACAAGTGTCCTACTTGGACACGACTCCATATCCTATCTAAACACAATACTACTCAGAGTCCAACTGTAACCTACCTTGTACACTATATTCGACACAACTCCAACAAACTCCACTTTGGCGAATATTCTCCACCATCCTGGATTCATCCATGTGTCAAACTTCTATGTACATTGGACTTGAGCTTATCCCATGAGCATGGCTGCTACTCCAAAGACTCCATATGACTCTACGTGCGACTTGTAGTCCCTCCTTTTCTTGACCACATTCAACACTCGAGAAAAATTAAGTTCCTTGTTACTCTAGTTTGTGCTCCCAACTTTCAGAGTATCCATCCAACGCTAGCACACACTGATCACTAACCTGCGTGAAAGTAAACAACTCACATATTAGGTGTCACACATAAGAGTTACCTGAACTCAATATCATCGCTCCTTTCTTGACCGTCTGTCTAAAACTTGAAGGAATTTCACCGTTGCTTGTAGTCATCCCGAGTCAAATTCACAGTTGTCTCACCACATGTATGACCACCAGAGCCCTGGCCCATCTCCATGTCCCGTGTGTACCGCATGCCTCACGGCTATTACCGCGTCGAGCCTCCGCTGTCCCGGTCGAGTCTCAAGGGTCGCGAACCCACAACACTCAACACCCACTACAAAGTAGCACCGATCATCATCGACCGATGACGAGTTTGACGCTTCCATCAGACCATTGGGCTCCAGTCCAAACCACACGCCACTCGCTTTTCCTTCTTGCTGAATAGGCTTCGATTCCCTGGATCCTTACACCATAGCCCCTCAATTCAGCTCCACCTTCAACATGACTCCATGGTAGATGATCAGTCCACCCTCGCGCCCCGTCAACTTCAAGCTCTCATGTGCGCACCGTCTTGAATCAACCCCGTGCCATAGTCTTGTCGAAGCCACACAAGCACTCAGGCCTGTGTCGCGTGTTTCCACGCCCAGAAGTCCGTCACCATCAGCATCACACACCTATGTCATCGTCGCCGATTCCACCACCGACTTCTGTACCAACCGACTTGCGCCGATCCGTTAGATTGCCTAGTCCGACCCAGCCGAACTCGTTCGACTGTATGACACGCTCGAGGCTCCCAAATCGTCTTCCGCGAATTCTAATCCATCGCATGATAAGTCCATCTTACCTGACATGACTTTCCGCAACACCTTCAAGCTAGCATCCCTATTGTGCCAATAAATATTTCATCATTGTCGGCCATAATCCAAGGTTTCCAGTCCCATCGAACTTCTCTACCTCAAACCTGGTACCGTTGGCGCCATAGTTCTTTGAAAAATTAACCAAGCTCTCCTCACGTAATGCCCAGGTACACCCAAGATGTACTCATAGCAAATTCCAATCAAGAATTACTCTTTGGCCTTCACGTGGTAGTAGCCCCCTTAGCACCAATTCCAATGCTGCTGTTGCTTTGCCCTGCCTCCTGCTATTCCAATGGATGCGTATCGCTGGCTGAATTTTCCTATTCGCTCAAAACGATCTGCTGCCTTGCCTCGCACACAAGAGGCCGCTGCACACAAGATACTGCTTTTCCTTACGTTTCCAGCGCCACGCAATCTCATACGTACCACAGACCACGTTTAGTGCCCCACCTGACGTCCACCACACGCCGAAAACCAACCCAGCCGTGACTGGCCCGAATAGCCATCACGCGAGCCTGGCGCTACGCGTTACGCCGCAGCCGCCGCACCGTCCGTGTAATGCGTACTTGTGCCTATGCAGCCAGAAGGTGTCTCCGATTGCTATTACGCAGATTCCGAATAGATCTCGTTGCCACCGTTCCGATCCCCTGAGAGCTACGCCGGTACACGTGCTGCTCGCTTCTTCGATTTAGGGGGTGTTCGGAATCTCTCCCGTCTGCTAACTCCGCTCCGTGCGAGGAGCACGGTCTGAGCCGCTCCGGGAGCTGCTGTGGCGGAGCGGAGAGTATCCGAACAGGGCTTTAACTCCACAGCTTGCTTTCGATCAGTTTCAACTCCACAACTACGATCTCTTCATTGCGCTTTCTCTAGATCAACACGATTAGCACCTCCGAACAACCTAGCTCATAATACTACTTATTACCAAATCCGAGGCATACCGTTAATCATCCGAGGACCAAGCAATCACACGAGGCACGACACCAAGATTTGTTAACGAGGTTCACCGATATGGCTACATCCCCGGGGCCTGACTATGGGCGCTCCTTCCCATGACACCGCTACAATACCGCAGCCGGTCACCCTGGACGCGGGCACATGCAGCCGGCTTCCCCTGTGTTCCTGTGCTATTATGTTGGCATAGGTTACATCGTGTGTCTACCCCAGTATATATGGGAGGTCTAGGATACAAGTGTCCTACTTGGACACGACTCCATATCCTATCTAAACACAATACTACTCAGAGTCCAACTGTAACCTACCTTGTACACTGTATTCGACACAACTCCAACATGAAATATCACCAAATAACTAGCCATGGATAGGGGTGCATGAAAGTTAGCCATCCATGTGCCAGAACCATAACTTGGTTTCGAGATCTTAGGGTTTCAGCTCTAGCCTGCCACAACTTGTTTGAGACTGAAAGGCTTTCTAATTCCATGACGCTTTTGCGATAGTTGTTGTTGTCTCGCTCTATTGTCTGACACTATAAATCATGACGTTTTCTAGTTCCATTTTTGGCCATCCAGCTAAACTTGGTACATGCATAATGTGGTCTTCTCTATTTTTCGGTTTGACTATGTGGTTTTCTGCTCCCATTCAACATGTTTGGTATTACTACTTATTAGTCGATGACTTGGTGTAGATTTCTGTTACGTGAGTGTAGATTGCATTCCACCATGACTTGAGATGCATGTTTATTTGATGTGAAATTGGTTGCAAGCTTAAGAAGTGCGGAGGAAGCTAGTAATCATGCATTCATGCTAGAAAACAGACTAAAAGGGCACTGTTGACCAAAATTTATACTACAATATTCACACATTTCTAGAGGCTGGCAAAAGGACTGATTAGGGTAATCTAGATAAGATGGGAGGTTTCATCAATTACTTTATCTCACCTTTTTATATTATTTTTGCAGGAAGAGTTAGATATATATTTGCATCGTTTTGGAACAGAAACCACACAGTTAGAGCATTGGAACAAGCTGTGAAGAACTTCCATACCATGATAGAGGCTGAGAAACAGGTAGTGACATCTCGAGCAGCCTTTTCCATACATATATTTTAATTAAGAATTTTAATATACAATGCACGCTGCTGTTGCATATCTGCAGTCTTACTGTTAGTGCACTAGTTTTGAAGCAAAGCTTTCTGCATGTTTTGCTGTGTTATGATCGGCATTGATTTACATGATTGCGATCTCCATAATTTGCTTATCAAAATCTATAATGGCTTTTTAATATATTTGGACTTTGGATTACAGGAACATGCTCGATCTGCATTACGTGCACTCAGTGGCTCAAGAAACAATAGCATGGAGATAGATGTTCCAGAAGAATGTGCTGATTTAACAGGGCTACCACAACCGTTTGTCAAAGAAGAAGTTCTAGTCTCTGTGTTTGATGTAATGATAACTAACTATATCTTCCATGATTTTGCAATCGATAATACAACTGATCTTCCATCTCATCTCATCTCAGGGAACATTTCCGTGTACTGCAGACCAGTTTTTCAATAATCTTATAAGTGATGACTCAACTTACACAGCAGAATATCGGACAGCTCGTCAGGATAAAGATATCAACGTAAGTATCCAGCACAGTGCCAGCTCTTTCAGTCATGAATTATGGCTGACTAGAAATATTTCTGTATGCAGCTGGGCCAGTGGCACCTTGCGGACGAGTATGATGGTCAGGTGAGAGAACTTAACTGTAAATCCATGTGCCACAGTCTGATGTGCCCTCCATATTCAGCAATAACAGAGTGGCAGCATACGGTTCTTTCAGCTAACAAAACCGATCTGGTATGTTTTTGCAAAACTGAACATCCCATTATGACGGCTAACATTTCTTGCGTCATGGTATTACATTATGTTATATACTACTACAGACCATAAATAAATTTGGTGTCTCATTTTCTATCTGTTAGGTATTCGAGACTGTACAGCAAGTACATGATGTTCCATTTGGTTCCTATTTTGAGGTACTTCTAGCTGAGTTAGTTTCTGTGGAAGATACATTTACATATCCATTTTTATTGCAATCAACTGAGCAAGCTAATGCTGTCCCAATTTCGAGCAAGCTACTTCCTTCTAATATTTTCAGTGTCTCTTGCCATTCTGATTCCAAAATTCTTTTATTTTATAGTGCTACGAATACTTATTTTTAGGTTACACTGTTAGAAATACAACTGTTCAACTATGATTTGGTAATATAGTTAACTGATGTTCCACTTTTCAGATACACTGTAGATGGTCTGTGAAAACCATCGATTCTAGTTCGTGCAGTGTTGGCATTAGTGCTGGTTGGTGTTTTCTTCTGATCTCCATGTGTAGCTTGTGTTCTCTTATTTCCTTTTATCTTATGATGTATGTTCTCACTGCAAAACTGCAAATGGAAATTTGTAATTTGATGGATGCGGTGGGCACTCTGTCCTTTCAGGTGCACATTTCAAGAAATGGTGCATAATGCAGTCTAAAATAAAGAGCGGTGCTGTGGACGAGGTACGAATTTGTCCACTGTTGACCTCTGTTTGATGATGATCTGCTTATGTGTATTTAATCCAACTTGTCCACCAACTTAGTAATATGGTAGTGAAATTTTACGATCAATAGTGAAATTACGCGCAACCAATTTCACACATTTAAGCGATCAAAATAATCAATGCACTAACTCCCGGTTCCAAATACGCTGCAATGTGGACATGATCAGATTGATTTGGGTATTAGAAATACAGTTTACATTGACTGTTTGGATGCTATAGGCTTACAGTTTACATTGACTGGCAGGTTATGTTGCTTTTGCTTGCTTTCTACTTGTAGCACCATGGGTTCCGATGCACAAGTCTTGCGTGTCGAGATGCAAATACAAATACCTGAATATTCTTGGTCTTTAGTCTCTGCATGTCCTAATTAATCCATTTAACTTTCAAGGTTGTGGTAATTATGTTTTGAAATCTTGCAGTTAAAGAAGGAAGTTGGAGAAATGTTAGGGTTTGCGGAGTCGTATATGCTAAGAGTTAGCTTCCCTACCCAAGAAGACAACACGGCGCCAGACGCAGATGATATACATGGTGATCAGTAGCATCATCTGTTCTAATGACAGCCACCGTCCCGTGATGGTGGTTTGTGATGATACCCGGTGAACCTGTAACTGTAGCTAGTCCAAATTTGATATGATTAGCTGCCTTGAAGAATTTTTTTTTAGGAAGTCCTACATTGTACTTCCTCTGTTTTTATTTAGTTCGCATATTAGCTTTGGTCAAAGTCAAGCTTTGTCAACTTTGACAAAGTTTATAAACAAAAATATTAACATATACAATAACAAATCAATACCATTAGATTCATTATTGAATGTACTTTCACATCATATAGATTTGTTAAGGCGAATGTTTGTATTTTTTTTCTATAAATAAACTTGGTCAAACTTTATGAAGTTTGACTTCAATAAAACCTAATATGCAAAGTAAATAAAAACAGAGGAAGTATAAACTTTTGGCTTACGTATATATATATCTACTTTTTAAAAGGGAGGATAATCCCCGCCTCTGCATCATTGTGATGCACACATCCATGTTTATTAAACGACGAGTATCAAGATTTAGTACAAAAACATGTGCAATAAAAAGAAAGAAGCCACAACCGATAGAAATAGGAATATATGCCTACACACATGCCTAGTATTGAACCACTATTCAAATCGGGTGAGGTAACCCGTGTGATCGTTGCACCCACTATCCGTAAGCTCATGTACCTTCGAAAGTTGTAGTAAGGATCCCATATGGATCCATGTTGTAGCCTTAAAAATGACTTGCAAAACGTTTTGTATTTCCAGTCTGTTAAAAACCACAGTCGTTCCGGCAATTCCATAAAGTCTAAAGCAAAGCACAAACTCGGCCTGGGTATGTGGCTTTACTCCCAACCAGTTTACAAACAAATTTGATATACTGGTAGGTGGAGGCAGGTTAAAAGTCACACGAATCATACGCCATAGCAATGTGGCAAACAGACAGGAAATGACGATGAATTGTTTCATCTTGATCACAAAAACTACATCGTCTACTCCCTTGCCACCTTCGGTTTGCCAAGTTATCCTTGAGAGTAGCCCCTCTGCACAAACCATGTAAATTTTTTAATCTTATGAGTGGCACTTTTGTTTTCCATATATGTTTCGAACGAGATACATGCCATGTGTTAATAAGGTCTGGGTACATAGGTGTAACTGAGAAAACTCTAGACGATGCCTACCGCCAATGAAAAGAATTTGGCTCATCAGTTAAGTTGACCGTCATCAACCTACGTACAAGATGTAGCCAAGCTTTTCATTTATCTCCGATCATAGCTCGCCTCAGCTAGATATTCAAGGGAACAATCCCTAATATTGAGTCGATGAACACCTCTTATTGTTGCATAATATTATAGAAACGGGTACTGTAAGGCCATGTGCGCATCCCCTATCCAAGTATCCTCCAAAAAACGCGTGGTATGATCATCTCCCACCAAGGCACCTCTATTAGTGTTGGGGAATGCAGTATTTAAAAAATTTCCTACGATCACGCAAAATCTATCTATGTGATGCATAGCAACGAGAGGGGAGAGTATGTCCACGTACCCTTGTAGACCGAAAGCGGAAGCGTTTAGTAACGCGGTTGATGTAGTCGAACTTTTTTCTCGACCCGACCGATCAAGCACCGAACGTACGGCACCTCCGCGTTCAGCACACATTTAGCTCGATGACGTCTCTCGTACTCTTGATCCAGCTGAGGCCAAGGGTGAGTTCCATCAGCACGATGGCATGGCGACGGTGATGATGATGCTACCGGCACAGGGCTTCGCCTAAGCTTCGCAACGGTATGATCGAGGTGTGTAGCTGTGGGGGAGGGGGGGGGGGCACCGCACACGGCTAAAAGAATAACTTGTGTGTCCTTGGGGTGCTCCCCTCTCCCGTATATAAAGGAGGGAGGGAGGAGGCGGCCGGCCTAGGGGCGCGCCAAGCATAGGGAGTCCTACTAGGACTCCCAAGTCCTAGTAGGATTCCCTTTCCTATTCGGAGTAGGAGAGAAGGAAAGAGAGGGAGAGGCGGAAGGAAAGGGGGCTGCGCCCCCACCCCTTGTCCAATTCGGTTTGGGCAGGGGGGAGGCACGCCCCACCTCTTGGCCCTTCTCCCCTCCCTCCACTAAAGCCCAATAAGGCCCATTACATCTGCCGGGGAATTCCCGTAACTCCCTAATACTCCGAAAAATACCCGAATCACTCGGAACCTTTCCGATGCCCGAATATAACCTTCCAATATATCAATCTTTATGTCTCGACCATTTTGAGACTCCTCGTCAGGTTCGTGATCTCATCCGGGACTCTGAATAAACTTCGGTCATCAAAACACATAACTCATAATGCAAATCGTCATCGAACATTAAGCGTGCGGACCCTATGGGGTTCGAGAACTATGTAGACATGATCGAGATACATCTTCAATCAATAACCGATAGCGGAACCTGGATGCTCATATTGTCTCCTACATATTCTACGAAGATCTTTATCGGTCAAACCGCATAACAACATACGTTGTTCCCTTTGTCATCAGTATGTTACTTGCCCGAGATTCGATCGTCGGTATCATCATACCTAGTTCAATCTTGTTACCGGCAAGTCTCTTTACTCGTTCTGTAATGCTTCATCCCGCAACTAACTCATTAGTCACATTTCTTGCAAGGCTTATCGTGATGAGCACTACCGAGAGGGTCCAGAGATACATCTCTGAAACACGGAGTGACAAATCCTAATCTTGATCTATGCCAACCCAACAAACACCTTCGGAGACACCTGTAGAGCATTTTTATAATCACCCTTTTACGTTGTGACGTTTGATAGCACACACGGTGTTCCTCTGGTATTCAGGAGTTGCATAATCTCATAGTCTGAGGAATATGTATAAGTCATGAAGAAAGCAATAGCAATGAAACAGTAACGATCATAATGCTAAGCTAACGGATGGGTCATGTCCATCACATCATTCTCCTATCAATGTGATCCCGTTTATCAAATGACAACACATGTCTATGGTTAGGAAACATAACCATCTTTGGTTAACGAGCTAGTCTAGTAGAGGCATACTAGGGACACTATGTTTTGTCTATGTATTCACACATGTACTAAGTTTCCGGTTAATACAATTCTAGCATGAATAATAAACATTTATGATATAAGGAAATAAAGAATAACTTTATTATTGCCTCTAGGGCATATTTCCTCCAGTCTCCCACTTGCACTAGAGTCAATAATCTAGTTCACATCTCCATGTGATTTAACACCAATAGTTCACATCTGTATGTGATTAACACCCATAGTTCACATCGATATGTGACCAACAACCAAAGGGTTTACTAGAGTCAATAATCTAGTTCACATCGCTATGTGATTAACACCCAAATTGTACTAAGGTGTCATCATGTTTTGCTCGTGAGAGAAGTTTAGTCAACAGGTCTATCACATTCATAGCCGTATGTATTTTCCAAATATTTATATGTCTACAATGCTCTGCATAGAGCTACTTTAGTTAATTGCTCCCGATTTCAATATGTATCCAGATTGAGACTTAGAGTCATCTGGATCGGTGTAAAAGCTTGCATCGACGTAACTCTTTACGATAAACTCTTTATCACCCCCATAACCGAGAAACATTTCCTTAGTCCTCACTAAGGATAATTTTGACCGCTGTCCATTGATCTACTCCTAGATCACTATTGTACCCCTTTGCCAAAACCATGGCAAGGTACACAATAGTTCTGGTACACAGTATAGCATACTTTATAGAACCTGTGACTGAGGCATAGGGAATAACTTTCATTTTTTTTCTATATTCCACCGTGGTCAGGCTTTGAGTCTTACTCAACTTTACACCTTGTAATACATGCAAGAACTCCTTCTTTGACTGATCCATTTTGAACTCTTTCAAAATCTTGTCAAGGTATGTACTCATTGAAAAATCTTATCGAGTATCTTATCTATCTCTATAGATCTTAATGCTCAATATGTAAGCAGCTTCACCAAGGTCTTTCTTTAAAAATCTCCTTTCAAACTTTCCTTTATGATTTCCAGAAAAGTCTACATCATTTCCGATCAACAATATGTCATTCATATATATTTATCAAAAAGGCTGTAGTACTCCCACTCACTTTCTTGTAAATACAGACTTCACTGTAAGTCTGTATAAAACCATATGCTTTGATCAACTCATCAAAGCATATACTCCAACTCCGAGATGCTTGCACTAGTCCATTCATGGATCGCTGGAGCTCAGATACTTTGTTAGTGCCTTTAGGATTAACTAAACCTTCTGGTTGTATCATATACAACACTTTAATAAATCCATTAAGTAATGCAATTTTTGACATCCATTTGCCAGATTTCATAAAATATGGCAATTGCTAACATGATTTGGACGTACTTAAGCATCGCTATGGGAGAAAAAGTCTCATCGTAGTCAACTCCTTGAACTTGTCGAAAACCTTTTGCAACAAGTTGAGCTTTGTAGATAGTAACACTACTATCAGCGTCTGTCTTCCTTTTGAAGATCCATTTATTTTTAATGGCTTGCCGATCATCGGGCAAGTCCATCAAAGTCCACACTTTGTCCTCACAGAGGATCCCATCTCAGATTTCATGGCCTCAAGCCATTTCGCGGAATCTGGGCTCATCATTGCTTCCTCATAGTTCGTAGGTTCATCATGGTCTCGTAACATGACTTACAGAATAGGATTACCGTACCACTCTGGTGCGGATTGTACTCTGGTTGACCTATGAGGTTCGGTAGTAACTTGATCTGAAGTTTCATGATCATCATCATTAGCTTCCTCACTAATTAGTGTAGGAATCACTAGAACTGATTCTGTGATGAACTACTTTCCAATTCAGTAGAAGGTACAATTACCTCATCAAGTTCTACTTTCCTCCCACTCACTTCTTTCGAAAGAAACTCCTTCTAAACTCCTTCTATAGAAATGATCCATTCTTAGCAACAAATATCTTGCCTTTGGATCTGTGATAGAAGGTTTACCCAACAGTTTCCTTTGGGTATTCTATGAA